ACCTTCGCTCTCTTTCTCCCTTGTTCTCGAAAGAGTTGATTTTGCAAAAAGAGAGGAAGAACAGAGAAAGAAAGGGAGAAAGGGAGCACAAAGAGGGGTTGTTATTTTGGAATGTTACGCTTAAATTGGTGCACATGGGAACAAGGCTATCTATTTTAGGTTTGGTTAAAATTCTAATTTAGTCCCTGTACTTTAAAGAAGAGTCAATTTTTGGTTCTATACTTTAGAAAACCTTTTTGATCCTTGAATTTTTTTTACCCCTTTTTAGGTTTTTAGTCCTATGTAATGACGTGGCAATTTTTTAGTTTAATTATTTGTTTTTTTAATTTTTGAATATTATGTGAAAATTAGATAAAATTTATTGTGGCTTAATTTGACAAGATTGTTTGGTGGTATCTTGTAACTGTAGTTGTTAAAAATGTTGTATTATATTGCCATGAAAAATATTTTAGTATTTGATAATTATATTTCAAAACAATTACCTATTGTAAATTAACTCAATTAGACACATTATTATTTAAAATTAAATTAATTAATAATTTAATATATAATGTAAGAAAAATAATTTAAGAATTTTATTAATTTTAGATAAGATATTTTTGTATACCTTTCCGAAAAAGTAGAAATGTATAATTTATTCAAACATAAGTTACAAAAAATTATGCAAAAAATACTATAAACAATGTTTTCAAACTAATTCTATATGTTCTTTTTGAGAGACATAAACTTATTTTTAGTCTTTTACCTTAATAAATTTATAAGTTTTAGTCATTCAACTTATACTATATCACTTTTAACTCCTCTCCTAAAAGAATTGAAGAAAATAACACTTATTTAATGTCTTGTTAGCTGATTGTTAGTTCTGTTAGTTGATTGTTAATTCTGTTAGTTGACTATTAACTCTATTAGCTGACTATTAGTATTTTGTTATAGAAAATATAAAATTTAAATTCAATTTTATTTGTTAGTTCCATTAACGGAATACTAATTATCAATTAACAGAGTTAACAATTAACTAATAAAACTAATAGTCAATTAATAGAATTAACAAAATGTTATAACCTGAAATTAAGTAAAAAGTATTTTCTTTAATTTGTATAGATGAGGAGTTAAAAATATTATCATATAAAGTAAAGAGTTAAAATTTATAAATTTATTAAAATAAAAGACTAAAATTAAGTTTTTGCCTCATTGAGACGAGAGAGCAAAAAATTTTGTAATTAATTAATTTAATATTTTAAAACATTATTATTTAAATCATTAATTCAAAATACTAAGATGAGCTTATTTTAATTTTTTACACATAAATAGTACCACGTACACACACACACACACCTTTATGAGTATTTTTTTATTTAACCTTTATTACTAATTAATATGAGAAACAATTATAACATTATTAAAATTACATCAATGCCCTTCCCATCATCATCTCCTTCCTCCCGATTAAATCCTGCAAGCTTTTTTTTTTTTTTTTTCCCAGAAAAAGAATCCCTTCAATTTAGATTCAAACATATCTTCTACTCTCCTTTGCCTAAACCAGGAATCCTCATCTCTTCTCTTCCTCCCCTTAAACTAGAACCAAGCTTTCTTTCCTCTTCCTCCTCCAGTACATGTACTGGACTTACCTCTCATTCCCTTC